ACGATCAATGCTTGAAAACATACAACCAGTTGATCATTCAACCTAAATACGAATACACAGCCATGCGTAGTCAGTCACATTTACACATTAAGTGCTGCCTATCACTGGCCGAGTGCTACGACTGATATTACCTCACCACTGGCTGAGGAGGTGGACGAAGAGCGCCAGTGCAGCACGCAGTTCCGCGTAGGTGCCGCAGCTACACGGTACAGCGAACCCCCGGGAGAGGGCAGCATGCTGGTCTTTAGGGCATGCCGGGGCGAGTGTGCGCATGCTACAGTACTGGAGCAAACTGGCCGGCACGCAATACTAGCAGACCTTTGCAGGATAGCACGCAATGGACCGGAGCTGTACAATGCAGACTGCAGAGATAATACAGCAGAACACAACACAGGATACAAATAGATAAGACACATTGGTGTGGTCACAACTGCACAGACAGTGGATCCACCGCAATGGCGGAAATCAATCTCCTTGAATACACGCGAACATGCACACACCATTGGACCATTGGACGCCCATCGCCGGAGGCGATGATAGCGATGCTTCAGCAGAAGCCATAGTAACGTGTGCTGGGATTGCACCATTCAACAACTTGCAAGGCTGAAGAATTGTCCGCCACTATTCAGCCTGGTCTACACCACACAGCTATGAAGTGGCTTTTTCTGGCCAGTGAATCCCCACTTTTTGGTCTTTTTTTATTTATTTTCCCGCACACACATCACACCACATACTCCGGCATGCACTGGCTGTTGGTAACTGCCCAGGAGAATGAAAGAAAAGTCAGGAAGAGTCTGAGAAAGAGAAGAAAGACGTGTGTGGCCATAATCGTTGGGAATCGAACCCGCAACCTATCGATTGGAAATCGCAGCACATACCAGTGCACGATATGGGACACACACACGCACACACACACGCACACGCACACACACACACACACACAAACACACCTTTGACCGGTTGACGCCCATCGCCGGAGGCGATGATAGCAATGCTACGGCAGAAGCCATAGCAACTTGTGCTGGGATTGCACCATTCAACAGCTTGCAAGGCTGAAGAATTGACCGTCACTACTCAGCCTGGTCTACACCATACAGCTATTTGAAGTGACTTTTTCTGGCCAGTGAATCCCTATTTTTGGTCTTTTCATTTTTTCCCGCACACACATCACACCACATACTCCGGCATGCACTGGCTGTTGGTAACCACCCAGAAGAATGAAAGAAAAGTCAGGAAGAGTCTGAGAAAGAGAAGAAAGACGTGTGTGACCATAATCGCCCCATATGGTGCAGTGGTATGTGCAGCGACACACACACACACACACACACACAAAGATGCGTGCGTAACTCACACTCTTCAGCCAGCCAGCCAGCGTGTACCACTGCCATTACCCTGTGTGCGACAGATGGTTCAAAAGCATGGAGTTACCCAGGTAAAACTGTTCACGAACCTCATCACCAACAGGAAATCCGGACTCCCCAGAGTCCACAGTCACCACCGTTATCACCCAGTCTACAGTAGAGTCGCGTGCCCAAGAACATTGTTTCCAAGGGGTTAGCCTGGGACGTTCTTATTTTTCAGCAATCTGGCTGCGGTCTTATAGCACGTTCTTAGAAACAAAACCGTACTGACTCATATGTACCCCACACGCTGCCAGAAAGCCAACGCCGTTGTTCACACTGTGGCTTTCTTAGTACTCCAGACTGGATGCTCTTGGGCTCCACGTTCTTCAGCGCGCACGACTCTACTGTACTCTGCCAACGCTGCCGTTGTCACAGTGCCAATTGCAGCCCCTGTATCCTACCACGCCGATATGAAATGACCCAATTGCAGTCAGGGTTCAAACTGAGCAACACAAGCAGACACCAGTCATTCCATCTTGTTCGTGAGCATGACTACAGTCCACTCATCCAAAATAGTCCCGCTGGCTTTTGAAAGCACGATCTGGGCCGAATTGAGGCTCAAAACCCACTTTAAACGAATACTAAAATCTGGGTTTGGGATCTGCTTCTCAATACATTGTGCCAAGGCATACCTGTCCTAACTTTGTAAAAAAAAAAGTAAAAGTAAATGATCATGTCCGTTCCCGAGGGAACTCACCACGGCCGGTAAATCCAGGCAGACGCAGTGCCTAACGGTGGCTGAATTTCTAATTCCCTGTCTTTGGACTTTTCTGGCCTCCATTGTGGCAAGGAATAATCCCGCAGGTCACGCAATGCAGGATGTACTGTTGTTTTCACGGTATCTACAACCAGGGAGTACTTCGAAGTAGTAAAATTGTACTACTCCCATGTCCACAACTAAACGTGGGAGACACCAACAGTCAGGAGTCAGTGTGCCAGCTTCCAATGAATGGACTACCAATGTCTCAAGTGACCACAACACCCGCGCCGCAGTTGTTTCCGAAGTGCTGCTCCAGATCTACTTTGTGTATTATACATGACAAGAAAATGCACTGACACGTACAGCCCTACCTGACTTATCCATCCCCCAGTTACTGTAAGCAAATGCTTGTTTTTTTTATACATTGTGCAATTACTCAGCGTTATTTGCAATAATAATAATAATAAGTAAAAAATTGGTTGTGAGCAACACTGGCTCACACTCAAATAACTGCTTTTCACCAGAAAAATATTATATTTCAACGTTTCGGTCATGAAATAACCATCATTAGGAATAATAATAAGTTACTGTATTTTGAAAATGGCTAATTTTAGCAGTGGTGAAATTTTAGCGAATGTAGCGAAAAGGGTGATATCATTAAAGTTGGTTTAGTCGCGTCAATCGAAAGTCGCATTTTGCATAGCATACGATATGCATGCATTTATTTTATAAGTTTAACGCACTCTCCACATACAGGCATGCACCCGGCTCAGAACACATTGTTTTCTGGTTGGCATATCAGGGATATTGGGCGGAGCAGCTGGCGTGCATGAGAAAGACAGGTCGGCCTGCTCTGCGCAGGAGCTGTGACCCGGTGCACACATAGTGTGTGTGAGAGAGAGACAGACAGGTCGGCCTGCTCTGCGCAGGAGCTGTGACCTGGAGCACACAGAGTGTGAACGAGAGACGGTCGGCCTGCCGTGGGCAGGAGCTGCGACCGGTAGTGATTGAAATGAGCCAGCTGCGGAGATAGACTGCCCTCACCCGATATAAGTATATTGACAAGAGTTGTACTGACACTGTTATTGAGGAAATTATGGTGACAGTGACGGAGAGATAGTGATCCCCAGTCGAATGGGGTTGGGAGGGAAGGGGAAATTGACACTGACGGACAAACCAGTGAACAGTCAAGTCGTCAGAAAGCAAAAGTGACAAAGGAGTCTCTCTTTTCTCCTTCTCTCTCTCTAAAGCAAGATTTGGAATGCATGCGTGGGAGAGTGGCGCGCGCTGCGCATGCGCATGTATAGCAATGACATCATAATCAGATGCATGATCATCAGACTAAGTATGAGTGGTAGATGTTCCACGTTCGTTAACAGGGCTTAGCGCACACGCTAAACCACCAATAAATTTACTTACTTTACCCGGCAATGACAGTGCTACACTGTTCACGACAAGATGAACAACGTGAACATAATGGACTTGGGTTCAGAGTGTGTTTAGTGATAGCTTGCATAGACCTCGGTCCTACCGGTAGGACCTACCGGTAGGACCATCATACACAGACATGCTGCATGGCCTCTGTTCTAACATTGACCAAAAACTTGACCCTAAACTGTTGCTCAGGGGCTAATGAAGGAGTCCACAAATTTTAGACGTGATCGCACAAGGCAGAGTACGAAATTCCATGGTAACAGCAAATGGTAACCATGGAAACGGTGTATGGAATTATGCATTCTACTGCCTTGGCAGACTAATAAAAACATTAGTACCTCACCACGATTGATGTGCCATGGTCAAAATTCACTTTGGACAGAGTTGCTAGCGCTCCGACAGGAGTACCGTATATTCTCTATTATAAGCACAGGTCTCCATTACTAGCACAGTCTCTAATACTAGCACACTGTGAGCACCTTTCGAAACATTATAAGCACAGTCTCTATTATTAGCACGGTCTTGGTGGAAATCAATGCTGCATGCATGATATCCAGCATGTATTTCTTCTTGCTCTCTATGGATGTATTGGTTGAAAAAATATAAGCACGGTCTCCAATATAAGCGCGGTTTCCAATATAAGCACGGGGTAGAGGGGTGTTGAAAATATATAAGCACGGCGCTTATAATAGAGAATATACGGTATGTGCGGCCATTTTGACAATTGATAAAATTGCGCGCATGCAATGCACTGGACATAGTCTTGCATTTTGCGCCATTACTTTGCCTGACAAAGACCTCATCTCAACAATTGTTTCAAGAAATTTCTCAACCAAAAGCACTTTTGCAGCACGATTTCTTGGGTCCTACCGGTGGTCCTACCGGTAGGACGGCATGCAAGCTATCATTAGGAAGAAACAAATTCGACACATTACGAGTAGCTTATCCACCCATGCCGCCAATGAGTGTCTCTAACCAACTGCGTCTGCATGCGTGAGTATTGGACGTATCAAAACGGATAGACTTGGCATATGACTTGTACTTGTAGACTAGACAGAATTTAGCAGCGTTCTGTTCCTAACTACTGTATGCATCACATCATGTGTCAGGCTGATTGCTGTCTCACCATTATCTTCCAGTCCACTGTCGCCCAGCAAGAATTCTACAGTGGGACTTACTCAAGAAATGACCACAATGCCAGGACAAAGTAACATGACTGGAAAGCAACTTTCAGGCTTCACATTCACAACGCAAGCCGTACAATTACATCACATACACCATGCACACACCTAAGTACAATTCAAAAGTTTGAGTCAAATTGAGATTTGTTCCATACTTGCGCTTGCAGCTAGATAGCTAGCTTGGGATCGATTCGACTGTTTTACGTACAAATTTTATAAACTCACTTTTATTTTCAAAATGCGTGAAACAAAAACAGAATTATGCCAAAATGAAAAAAATGAAAAAGCACTTTTACTTTTCTCAGTCATTATTTGAAGTGGGGAGAGAAATGGCTGGTGAGGCGTTCCGATTCCATTTTGCACATTCCGATGAGGAGGAGGATGACACGAAGAGAGACAGTCCCGTTCAGTCTATTCCTGAACGACCCGCTGTAGTTCTGCCGGTGACGAATAAAGAATTGGAGAAGATGGCGAGACAAACCGAGTCAGAAGTTACCTCCACTGAATTCTGTAACAAAGATGTATGTATTCGCCATGTGGAGTCTGCGAGTGCACAAGCAGACATCCAGGTTCTGGATGCAAGCAGGGAATCGGATTCAGAGGACAAAGAAAGTGACTGTGCGCGTGCTATCAGTCAACATTCTGACTTGATTCCAGGCGTGTATGAAGGTGGTCTGAAAGTGTGGGAATGCTCCCATGATTTAGTCGATTATATGCATAGCCATAAATTTCTGCTTGAAGACAAGCGCGTCCTGGAAGTGGGCTGCGGTGCGGCATTACCTGGACTGTATGCCTTGTTAATGGGTGCCAAAGCTGTTGATTTCCAAGATTACAATGAAGAGGTTCTGCGTCATGTGACTGTGCCGAATGTGGCAGCAAACATGCTGAACGCATTTAAGATGAGGGAGAGACGACAGCTGCGTTGTCGACGGCATAGTCCTCGACGGCCGAATTCTGACTCGACTGCACGTGTGCGTCTCGCTGATGCTGCAAAGGCTGTGAGTGCTGGTTTCTTTGCTGGTGATTGGGGAAAACTGGAAGAAGTCTTCTCGGAGCGCATCTCATCTGGACATGGCAATCTGTATGATGTAATTGTCACGTCTGAGACTATCTATCGGGAGGATACACATAGGAAGCTGTTGAGCTTGATCAAATGTTGCCTCTCTCCATCAGGCGTTGTTCTTCTTGCTGCCAAGTCACATTACTTTGGTGTTGGTGGCAGTGTACGGAGCTTTGAGAAGGCCATAGAGGATGATGCGTCCCTTCAATGCAAGGTTGTGTCGAAGTATTCGGGCAGCGGTGTGACGCGAATGATAATAGAGCTGAGATGGACTGCTGTGAAATAAGAGAGGATAGGCGCATTTGCTTTCACCATGCTTTGAAGCTACTAGTACTTGAAATTGTTCTTTGGTCTTGATTGAACTTTTCTTAGTTTAAAGAATTTTCTAATGTTTTCTTGTAGATCGTGATGGCTTTCTTTTATGAATTTATTTGTGGTACTCACCGTAGCAATTGCCTTCATACTGTAAATCAATTTTATGTCGTAAGCGAATAGTATTCATAAACTGTGAGAAAAAGAACATTTCGTACTAACAAGAGTAGATAAACAAGAGTGTGCAACTCCGGATCTCTCCTGCACGATCTCCAGATACCCTCGCCCACGGCGGAATTTTTTGTTGACGTCACCTTTTTTTCAGAGAAACGCGCTTCTTGCCGCAGAGCAGTGTGAGAGCACGTGCTGGGCACCGACATTGCAATGTAAGCCCGGCCAAGTGCACGAGGCAAAACTTTCCAAAAAGACTAGCAGCGCGTGGGTGGTCAAAAAGATTACGTCAACAAAAAAATCCGCCGTGGGCCAACCCATCCGCGAGTTGCACACTCTTGTTTATCTACTCTTGGTACTAACTACTAACTTTGCTGTCAATCGCAGGCTACTACGCACACAACGTTACATGCAGTACCGCAGAATGAACGGGACACAATTTACTTGTTGAATTTAGTAAGCGTTTTAATGTCCGAAATGGGGTAGCCAGACGAAATTTACGAAATGTTTAATTTTTATTTCCAGTACACACATTCATGTTCTCACCCTGGTCTCCTGGAACATGGGAACTTACTTGTTTGTCCTGTTAATAGTGATACTGGCGGTAAGGTGAACGCAATTCCTGGGTTGTCGCATGTGAGAATGTAAGTTCGGTCATGATGTGGATCATGTACTTGAAGTAGATCCCTGTACAATTACCGTGTTATAATCAACGGGGGGGGGGGGGGGGGGGGGGGGCGCGGGGGAGGTATGTGGTTGTCAGGTATAATCAACGGGGTGGGGGGGGGGGGGGGCGCGGGGGAGGTATGTGGTTGTCAGGTGACCCCCTTTTCTTTTATGATGCAGTGGTGTAAAGTCCATAAATTTCGTATGAATTGTTGATCGAGTTCTAGGGCAAATCTGCCCGAACAGTGTCAGCCGTAAGAGCAGATGTCGAGGACGGTTTTTTATGGCTTTGTTTTCTTTGTTGTTTTCTTTATTTGAATTCGCTAAAAGCAAACGGACAGAACTGTCCAGCAAATCGCACATAGCGCATGTAGCGTATACCACGCCGTAAACATCAGCGGTACGGCGGAGTCGATATACAACTGCATTGAAACGAGCACAGTGTCACAAGCGAGAAGGCCTTTCACATGTCATTATAGCAATAAAAACTGCTTTATGGCAGTTTTCTAAAAAACGTTATTGTGTTGTAGTCCATGGACGGACCCCGTCTAAAAAGTAAGAAATTAACGAAATGTGATAGCCGAAAATTAAAATTTCACACAAAACCTCACAATAATCACAACACTTGAAATGCTGCTTTCAACACTAAACTTGTACTGCACCAACAATTGGCAACATGCATGCATAGGAAAGAGGATCACGAGGGGAAAGGTCTTCTACATGTACATGTAGCTTTTCATTCTGTGTGTGATTATTGTGAGGTTTTGTGTGAAATTTTAATTTTCGGCTATCACATTTCGTTAATTTCTTACTTTTTAGACGGGGTCCGTCCATGGACTACAACACAATAACGTTTTTTAGAAAACCGCCATAAAGCAGTTTTTATTGCTATAATTTCTTTTGTTTTTTCTGTCACCAATCAATGGAATGCCCTATATCAATATGTAAATGATGGCCTTCACATCATATCAATACCGTATTATACGCATTGATGTGGAAGCCTTTTCTTGCAGAAAATGGCACTAGCATACATGTAATGCAATTGCATGTTCTTCTGCGGGGAAACATGACATGTGAGTAGTGGTCTGGTGGTGGTGATACTTTTTTTATACGGAGGTCATTCTGTGCATGTTGCAGAATTTCATGACTCTGTCAGAAAATTGTCTTGCCTTTCAGATATTTCAGATTTCCCCACCCTCGATCAGATTTATTTGAGAAATGTAGCCAGGTGCGTGTCGCAGATGTTTTTGTTGATTCTGTGTTTATAATGGTTTATAATCATGGGTTATCGTGATAAGGTCATCCTGCACTGAAATGGTAATCCTGTTGATGTTGATACAACCTTCGGAAGTAGTTCAATGACTTCAAACTGTTAGTCCACGATTTTCTAAAACAACACAGCAAAGGAGGAACAATAAACATGTATTAAAATGTAAACAAATACATTGCTGAGTCCGACTCCTCGTTCCAACAACTACACTGATCCTGAGGATAAAAGGGGCAAGGCTATGGTTGGAGGTACTGAGAGATAAACAAGGCACTCCACAATAATAAAATCTTACACATCTTTTGGTGAGTATGAATGATATCCAGTCGAACTTCTTTAGGACGAACACTAAGGGACCGATGGTATTTATTCTGTGAGTTTGTCTCAACCTATTTTATAACCAGTGAATACAATTATTTCTCCAATAGACATACGAATAGATTTCTTCTACAGCGAAAGATTCTAAGCCACACCGACTCATTGACTCGTCTCGTATGAAACAAATGAGTCACTAGAGAGGTTCTGCAAAACGAAAATGCGTACAAACTTTCGCTCTACGTCATGAAGTGCGAAACTTCGCACGAACTTTCGCAACTTTGGACGTGAAACTTGCAGGGAACGCGAAATGAACTGTCGTAGGAAATTTCGTGAGATCGTACGTGCACTTGGCCCCAGAAACTACGAAAATGTGCAGAACGCAAAGTTCGTGCAAAAATTCATACACACTTTCGCAGAAACTCTCTACAGTAGAGTCGCGCGCCCAAGAACGTTGTTTCCAAGGGGTTAGTCTGGGACGTTCTTATTTTTTCTGCAATCTGGCTGCGTTCTTATAGCACGTTCTTAGAAACAATCCGTACTGGATCATTATGTATTCCACAAGCTGCCAGAAAACCAACACCGCCGTTCTTAGCTTTAGGCTGTGGTGTTCTTAGAATTTCAGGCTGGATGTTCTTGGGCTCCGCGTTCTTCAGCGCGCCACTCTACTGTACTGAACCTTTCTTTAGCAACATGACGGCAACTGAAACAGCAACAGAGAAAGTACGATACATGTACTCCACATTCTTGCAGGTACTACAAACAGATTGCAGATCGTAATTCTTGCTTTGGCGGCACGAAACTGTATTTGGGGCAGTGCAATCTCGGCGGTACTCACAAATCAAAAAGCCCAGACTCTGGAGATTTTCCCTGATATGCGAATTTATTTTGCAAACTCGGTCAATGGGTCCTTGAACCTTTCCCTCCAGATTGGGAACTGGCAACGATAGTATGCCACTGACCAGTGCATTACTTGTAACGTACTTATGTACAATGAATATGAGTATTTCGACAACACATCCAACAAGCCTTACCGTCAAGAAGGTGAACTCGCGTTCTTCGCACACTGTAGTGTAGACTGTAGACAAGGGCAAAGAGATAAAAATGGATCTAAATCCGAATAAGATCAACACACGTTTCCGTAAAATTTAATGAAAGGGTGAGCATAATAAGCAAATGAATCGAAGGAAACCGGTCAACTCAGAGATCACCTGTCATCGAGGATTCCGTAAAAGGAGGCCTCGGCAGCGGAAAAGCTAAATTTAGAAAAGAGATCCTGTCAGCTTTTCCATATTTATTGCATTCCACCCAAAATCAGCACACTTTTCGTAAATGAAAGAGTCAACACAAGCAAATGAATCAAAGGGCACTGGTCAACTCACCTGTCATTGAGTAATATTCCGCAAAAGGAGGTCTCAGCAGCTCCGAAACGAAACAGCTCATGCAAGAAGCAGTTCCAAAGAAGGAAGTTAGTTCCTCGTGCATGCACATCCGAAAGGCAACAACAAAATGTCTGCACACGCATGCGGCCAGCCGGCCGCGCGATGGTATACCGGTAGAGCCATGGAGTAGCTCCCTGGTACCATGGTCCAGGACCAGGTACCGAGCATCTTACGTAGAAACTTACGTAGCTACGTAGACAACGTGTCTGAATAGCGGTGTCGTTAGGTAGCGCCATGTGAACACAATAATAGAAAAGCTGACAGGATTTTTATTTTTTTTATTTTTTAAACAACACAATTTTATTGAAACAAAGAAAAATGATGGCACCTATGTACAGGGGATGGCCCACGCCTGGTATAAAGTGAACGTAAAAGAGAAAAAAGTAGTACAGTGAAATCGATAACAATAGTTCAGTTCCCACACAATACCGCTCCTGAGCCGGATCAGACCACAATCCTAGCCTCTGCAACCGCCAGTGCGGCAGAAGCAGAGACAAGGCGGTGGCAGTGGATCGGTCGGCGGGCACCCCGAAGACAGGCAACACTTGCACGCAGGAGGGCGAAGCTCAGCCGGGCACGAATCCAGGCCATGACAGAGGAGTAGGCTTCACGAGTCTTCTCGGACAACATGGAGGCAATGCGCTTGTAAAGAGAAATAGCTGAATTGCCCATGCCACCATGTGCCGAGAAAACCACAGGGATGAAGCCTGCCCGCTCAACGTGCTGAACCCTTTCTCCGTAGGCCCGGCGCTTCTCACGTTCGTGTCGCTTGTAGCAGGATGCCGCAGATGATGAGCGATTTGATGGAGCGTGCGGGTTGAAGACCCGGACGTCCAGGTAGCTCCGTTCAAACCGGCCGCCATAGATACCGCTCGCGACAACATCCAGCCGACCCAGGTCATCCCGCACAGCTGTGCGATAGCGCAAGTTCTCCCCGGTCAAGGGCGGGAGGGTGGGCTCCACGTTGACGTCATGCGCCACACGACCGAGCAGCTGCGCCGTGAGATCCCTCACCTCATTGTGCCGCATGATGATGAAGCCGCCCGTAGCGCAGGAGAGAGCATGTGCAACAGTGAACGTTGCACCACACGAGCAGGTTGATGGCAGTCGGTCCGGGTGCCACCCATAGCGAAGCGCCAGCCCATCACGAAACTGGGCCTTGGACAGGGTAAAGCCATGACGTGCTAGTGGGCGGCATGTAAGCCAGCTTGAGGCTCCTTTCTCGCTGCCAAGCTCCATGGCACGCTTGACTGGGGGAGATGCATCATTTGCGAGCTCCATGGCACGGTGGGCCACAGACCTTCGCTGCTCACGCCGTA